AGTATCCTGGTAACTTTTCATGTATTACTTCTAATCTTCAAAACAAGTATTTTACAGATGAAAAAAACAAATGTTCAGAAAGATTAAATAATTCACTCAAGTTTACCTAGCATCTCAGTGGTAGAACTGGAACTCAGATCTTTATGAAACAAAAGAGCTTTAATTATGCAAATATGTAGACATACATAGGGTTAAGCATATGATCTCATTTGCACACAGAGTAATGATTTTGAAAATTCATAATCATTTGATATTGATGGTGAAATTTTAAGATTAGTGATTGAAAAGATGGTTTCTGAAGAATTCCATCATTAGAAGACAGAAGGCTTTATTAGGACTGAATCATGCCTGGTAATCCTCATTTTTCAATTTAGTCAATAGCTGATCTATCAGAGGAATGGTAGAGTTATTCAGATAGGCATTAAGAAGTCATAAACCATTAACCTTCCATGAATACGGAGCTGGATGATATGCAATGAGTGAACTTCATCTAAAGGGTGTTGATTAATGGACTGATGTTCATAGGTCAATCTTTTTTGACTTCTCAACTACAAGTATAAGAACATGAAGGATAACTCGGCTAATACTGTGAAGCTGAAATAAAGCTGATATGTGAGATGAATAAATCTAAATAATTTCAAAAAACTGGAATGATGAGCAGAATCTAATGAGATTAAAAAATACAATCTGAAAGGGAAAACCTCAAATACTAATCAGAAGACATAGAACTTTATGATTTTGGGTGAAGAGACTAGGGAATCATTGATGAAGCAACCTTCTAAATAGGATGGTAGGGTGCATGAAGGCAGTGCAGTATCTGGAGAAAGAAGCTCACAGCCCCAATATCCATAGTGAGGGACTCTGAAAAACAGAACACATGCTACTAGGAGTTACCATGGGGTGAGTTCCTCAAAAGCATGTATACAATCACAGGATCAATAGTTGAACAAACCAGAAAGCTTAATCCTGGAGAAGACGATGAGTGGATGTCTGCCTGCAGACATCCAAAGGGCTAGATTGGAAGAGACATAGAAAAGGTATTTGGCATCAGTAAGTTTGGAGGGTAGAACTAGGAGAAGGAGTCACAGAGGAAAGTCTTTGGCTTGATAGAAGGAAGAAATCTGTAACTTAGCCACAAAGAAATAAACTAGTTCCAAAATGTGGGTCTTTTAACCTGGCCTCTTCCTCAATCAGAGGCAGGATTGATGGCCATTCAGAAGGGATGGTGCAGGGGAAATTTTAACATTCAATGTAAGTTTGACCATATGGCTACTAAGATCTGATCTTAACCAGAGATGATAAAATATTCTAAAAATAAAACTATGCATATTAAAATATGTAGATTCTGAACTAAGGAAAAGTATATTTAGGGTAAAAAAGAACAAACTAAGAATATAAAAATTCTAAAATAAGTAAGAAACACTAATTTGTTATGTGACTGCAGGTAGGTTTTCTAAACTCTTCTGTTTACTTATCTGACCTATTTCCCAAACTTACTAATGCATCTGAAAACTCATATCTTGGAAGGTGGGATAGTGGATCTTGGCCAACTGTAATTTCTTTCTTTCTTTCTTTCTTTCTTTCTTTCTTTCTTTCTTTCTTTCTTTCTTTCTTTCTTTCTTTCTTTCT